TATTTCTTTTTGTTTATCATTTTAAAGAGGAGAACTTTATAAGAGGTCATGCTTGATGTTGTTTTCAAGCTCTACTAGAACATGTTGTCCTGCTTAAATGTTGATTATTTTCCTCATATTCTCCATTGTTGCGGCGGCTCTCTTCCCAGTCTGTCAATAACGCCGTTTACTTCCTGTCTCTATGAAGCCCCGCCTTCTAAAAAGCACACTGTGCTCTGATTGGTCGGCTGGACCACCAGTGTGTTGTGATTGGTCAAGCGCTTAGTGTGTTCAACACACTCCCTGCGTCCCAATTCGCATACTATCCGTCCTAAATAGTGTTCGAAAATAGAATTAGTACGTCCCAAATCGTAGTATGCTGAAATGAGTGTTTCAAAGATACCCGGATGGTCTACTTTTTCCGGTCAGAATCCGAAGTGTAGATCGATGCACACGCTAACGGCTGATATTGCCCACAAACCATTGCGCGTTGGACGAGGATTCGGTTAGAACTACAAACACGAGTAAAAGTGTTAAAAAACTACAGACACGTAGTCGAAACGGAGGACGCGCGAGTCCCCGCGGTTGTGTAGAGAGGTTTAGATAAAGAGCTTTGAGTGATTAATTATCAGTATCTAACCTGACGAAAATGAATTTATTCAATGGTGTACACATTGCATTTGCAGCAGCATTGTGAACTTTTGTAAAGACACGTTTAGCCATTACGTTTAAAATGCATCATTATATTCAAATTGCAAACAAGAGCATGAAAGACCCACAACTGACAGATGAACGTGCTCTCCGAAACGGTAGGAAATAAAATTAGATAGAATGGAGGATTTTAACTGTGACAAGATGATTGACAGGGCAGTTTACGGTGACAGGATGCACGCAGCAGGAGACATATGAAGGTAGATTTGTGTCTTTATTATTCAATCAAAAAAAATGTTGCTTCAATCAAAAAAAATATTTTCAATTAAAAAAACCTTCACTTCAATGAAAAAAAAACTTTTCAATCAAAGAAAAAAAGTATTTGAATCCAAAAATATATTTGAGACTCAAAAAAATACATTTGAACACTGCTTTTTTTTGATTGAATAATAAAGACACAAATCTAAAATGTTTTCTTTGATAGAAGTCCGGTTTTTTTTGTTTAAAGCAACCTTTTTAATTAAAGTAACATTGTTTTTTGATTGGACCATATAATGGGTAGGACATTTGTGTCTTTATCATTCAATCAAAAAAGAAGTTGCTTCAAACAAACAAACAACAGAATCAATACAAAAGTCACTTCAATGAAAAGATAAACATTTTCAAATATAGAAAATCATTTTTGAATGCAAATAAAATATTTGAGACTCCAAAAATTGCATTTGAACACCTTTGTTTTAATTGAAAATGTTCTCTTTGATTGAAGTAATCTTTTTTGTGTTTGGGCCATACATGGGTAGGACATTTGTGTCTTAATCATTCATTCCAAAAAGTTGTTTCAATCAAAAAAAAAATATTTTCAATCAAAGAAAAAACTTTTCAAAAGCAAAAAAAAATTTATTACCTCGTGTATAAAAAAAGTATTGAAGAGAATGTGTGTTTTCGTTGTTTTTGTTTTTTATTTGAAGTGAAAAAAAATTTAGAATTTCAAATTGTTTTGATTGAATCCTTTTTTTTTTTTTGAAGTGCAAAAAGTTTTGAAGTTCAAACTTTTTTTTTGATTGAATCATTTTGACACAAACGTTCCGCAGTGGGCGGTGCTTCTCTGTTGGTCAGACATGTTTGATTGACAAGTGTCTACACCAACGACATCTTTCTGACAAAGAAGTCATGTTCGCCACTCGCCAGCAGCTTTTTTAGAGGGGATAAAATCTTTGCCTGCAGGGGGATCTGCTACTCGACCGGCCACGGATATATGTGCCTTATATGCACTGCATTATATAGCGCCTGCCACTCGAACTTACACAATATTTACAGTAAATGCAGCGCATATTCCCCGACAGAACGGTACGCACAATAGGTCAATATTCACCATTAAGCATTAACCAAACGCTTTTCACCTGCCTAGCCACAAGATTTCTCACTGTTTACACCTATCAGACTCTCCTAATGGTAGGCCTACACGAGAGCACACATAGCCTACAGTAGCTAATACAGATCTTATTTACACATTTATCATCTGATCATTTTATTCGTTCTTTTTGCCCGTATTGGAGCGCGTATAATAACGTGCAATCCATCTCTTATTTACCTTTTTGTCATCTTATATTATATTTTATTTGCTCTTTTTATGCGTATGGGAGTGCGCTCGCATGGCTTCTATTAAGCGTCGCGCGGCCACACCAGCCACACGATCTCTCTCTATTTACACCTAATGGTAGCTACACGAAAGCACACATAGTGCAATACAGATCTCATTTACCCATTTATCGTCTGATCTTATATTTTATTCGCTCTTTTTATGCGAACGGGTCGTGGCTCTAAGCATCGCCAGCCATACCAGCCACAAGATCTCTTATTACACCCATCAGACACTCCGATTGATCCACATGTGAAAACAGACAGTGCAATCCTGCTCTTAAGTATCTTTTTGTCATCTTATTTTATATTTTATTTGCTCTTTTTGTCCATAATGGAGCGTGCGCGTCACCTAGCGTCGCGCCTGCCACAAGATCTCTCACTATTTACATGAACCAGACACTCTGATGAGAGCACATAATGTGCAATCCATCTCTTATGTACCTTTTTGTCATCTTATCTTATATTTTATTTGATCTTTTTGCCCGTATTGGAGCCATCTTCGCAGTAGTGAACGCGCCGAGAGAAATGCTCATTTCATACGGATTACATAATCAGAGAGTAATCTATTTATTTTCGTTTTGAAATGTTTCGTTTAAAAGTAGGCTATCGTTCCTACCTTTCTGGATGTATCATGTCTGTGAGAAACGTGCAATGCAAAAATGTCATGATTTTATTGCTATGCCTACATCTGCTTTGCTTCTTATTTAATAACCCGAATTGGTTGATCAAACATTGATTAAAATTAAGACACTTTTTTTTTATTAAAAACGAAATTCACTTTAAAGAAAGGCTTTATAAAAAAACTAAATCTGATGGTGTGGTCAAAAATTCTCCTTCAGAATGTCAATCGGAGAATCGGGCAACTGTAATTTTGAGAGATCTTGTGGCTGGCGCACCACGAAACGCGCTCCATTATGGGACAAACGAGCTAATAAAGTATAAGATAAGATGACAAAGGGTAGCCTAAATAAGTGCAGGGTTGCGTTGTCTCTGTGTTTTCGTGCATCAATCGGAAGTGTCTGGTAGGCTATGAGAAAAGTGAGAGATCTTGTGGCTGGCCCGACGCTTAAGAGCTACGAGATGCGCTCCAATACGGGCAAAAGAGCGAATAAAATATAAGATAATATGTAAAAAAAGTAAATAAGAGATGGATTGCACTTTATATGCTCTCAGAGTGTCTGGTTCACGTAAACAGTGAGAGATCTTGTGGCAGGTCGCTTAAGAGCCATGAGACGCGCTCCAATACGGACAAAAAGATAAATTATAAGATAAAATCATAGGCGTCATTTACGGGGGGGGGGGGGGGGGGGGACATGTCCCATAGATATGTATGCATGTCCCCACCACTTTTTGCCAGGGTAGATTTTGTACCCACCACTTTTGAAACATCTCGCGGCGCCTACTCGAAAGAGAAAAAAAAATAATGAATGCGTCATTGTACCCAGCACTTTTGAAAATGCTCTTCCGAATACGTCTCTGTCCCCCAGCACATTTCAAACCAAACCAAACTGACGCCCGTACACAAGAGCAGGATAACACTGTCTGTGTGCTCTCGTGTATTAATCGGAGTTTCTGATAGTAAACAGTGAGAGATCGTGTGGCTGGTGTGGCTGGCGCGATGCTTAGAGCCACAAGATCAAATGATAAATAGATAATATCCTGTAGGGGTAAAAACTTGCTGGCGAGTGGCGAACATGACTTCTTTGTCAGAAAGATGTCGTTGGTGTAGACACTTGTCAATCAAACATGTCTGACCAACAGAGAAGCACCGCCCACTGCGGAACGTTTGTGTCAAAATGATTCAATCAAAAAAAAGTTTGAACTTCAAAACTTTTTGCACTTCAAAAAAAAAAAGGATTCAATCAAAACAATTTGAAATTCTAAATTTTTTTTCACTTCAAATAAAAAACAAAAACAACGAAAACACATTCTCTTCAATACTTTTTTTATACACGAGGTAAATAATTTTTTTTTTTGCTTTTGAAAAGTTTTTTCTTTGATTGAAAATATTTTTTTTTGATTGAAACAACTTTTTTGGAAATTGAATGATTAAGACACAAATGTCCTACCCATGTATGGCCCAAACACAAAAAAGATTACTTCAATCAAAGAGAACATTTTCAATTAAAACAAAAGGTGTTCAAATGCAATTTTTGGAGTCTCAAATATTTTATTTGCATTCAAAAATGATTTTCTATATTTGAAAATGTTTATCTTTTCATTGAAGTGACTTTGTATTGATTCTGTTGTTTGTTTTTTGAAGCAACTTCTTTTTTGATTGAATGATAAAGACACAAATGTCCTACCCATTATATGGTCCAATCAAAAAACAATGTTACTTTAATTTAAAAAGGTTGCTTTAAACAAAAAAAAACCGGACTTCTATCAAAGAAAACATTTTCAATCAAAGAAAAGCAGTGTTCAAATGTATTTTTTTGAGTCTCAAATATATTTTTGGATTCAAATACTTTTTTTCTTTGATTGAAAAGTTTTTTTTTCATTGAAGTGAAGGTTTTTTTAATTGAAAATATTTTTTTTGATTGAAGCAACATTTTTTTTGATTGAATAATAAAGACACAAATCTACCTTCATAGGGAGACAGAGCTGTCCGTTAAAGATGACGTGATAGTATGTCCCAAAGCTTGCCTACTCTTTTGCTACACACTCAAAAGTATGTACTTTTTCCTCACAAAAAGAGTACATACTTTTAGGACGTGGACCCTTTTTAGACCCTTTGCAACCACGTGACCACGACCACGTGACGACGCCATGCTGGACGGCAACATCACTGGATGCACAGGCTAAACACAGTAACGTTAGTAGATGAGCGGGAAATTTGATTAGTTTTTAAAACAGTTTAACTTAGTATAAGATACCACTAAACTGCATGGCTTCTTCTACTGAAAAAGTTGTCGTGCCGTTATCGGTCGAGGTAGGGCATCTGCTAGGTCCTCACAAAGAGCGGTATTTGGAGAAGTTAGAGATCGCCGGTTTGGATACCGACCCATACCTTCTTCCTCCCTCAGCTTTTACGGAGCTCATTAAATCAACGGATCTGCCCGACTTCGGCCCACACGATTTGTACCACTATGTGGTAAACGGGGTATCGCCATACACGGGAGCTGATCTCAAAGCATTTAAAAGTCTGGATGCTTACCAGTTCTTTGTAGCTGGCTGGGTAACAGGTACGCGATGCTACGCTAACGGCGGGGGGAGCTACCTCATAATGGCAAAGGTAAGACATCAATATATGGTTTATTTTGTATTAATATCTATTTTTTACTAAGTAAATATTTATATAACACGTAGCCTATGATTTTAGAGGACATTGTCGGCCGTGGCTTTTAAATGGATGCCTGGACCATAGACTGTAAAAAGGCCTGGACGCATCCCTGCTCTGGGAAGTGCAGTCATTAATGATCGATCACACTTTAATCCATGCAGTAAACCACGGAGTATCCGTGATCAGTAATAGCCACATATAATTGAAACATTTAGCCATCTTTATGTTGTTATATTTACTGTAGCCTATGTTAAAATTTGACCTGGTAAACACAGCGTTGTGATTAAGATGTATTCACAAGGTGCATTTATGGTGTCACTGCAACAGTAAACAATAACATTTATGTAAGAATAATGTTTTTATGGCACTTTTTAATGTAGGTGCATTATAGCCAGTAAACCACGGAGTGTGATCAGTAGGCACACATAATTGTAACATCTAGCCATCTTTATCTGTGATATTCACTGTAGCCTATGTTAAAATTTGACCTGTTAAACAGCATTGTGATTAAGATGTATCCACAAGGTGCATGTATGGTGTCACTGCAGAAGTAAACAATAACATACATGTAAGAATAATGTATTTATGCCACTTTTTGTAATTGTAGGTGCATCATAGCCAGTCACTGTCTGAAACCCAACTTCAACCATGGGTATCTTTGAAGAAGGATGGGACAGTTTTGTGTGGCCACTGTACATGTAAAGCGGGCCTGGGAGAGGTGTGCTCCCACGTAACAGCTTTGCTGTACGCAATAGACTCTGCTGTCAAACATCTGGGAGACAAAAGCTGCACTGATGGGCCCAGACAGTGGGGACTTCCTCCTTTGAAAGCAGGCAAGGCTTTGTACGAAGAAGGGTCAGGAATTGATTTCTCAAATCCTGCCAAAAAGCGTTGTGGTGTAAACAACCAAAGCCATTCAGGTTGTCCTTCTGGGAAAAAGTGGGTGTGTCTGCAGCAGCTATAGAAGAAATTCTACAAGGCTCTGGATAATGCAACTCCAAACCCTTCTGAGAAGAGTGGTATACTACGCATATTGCCGCACTACTGTAAACAGTTTCAACCAAAGGTGGTGTCTCTGGGTCTACCACATCCCCTGACCGAGTTATACAGTGCTCAGAACCGGAAGCTGTCTGCCTCGGACCTTGAGAAGAAATGTGATGCAGTATTTAATGATATGGAAGTCACACCAGAGCAGGTATAGTCATCCCTCTTAATCTCATATGACTAAAATGTGCTTGAAGGTGTCATGTCATTAATTTCATCTTCTATAATTTACAATGTTGTAGGCAGTAAGAGTTGAGGAAGAGACACGACAACAGGGAAAGTCAAGGCTATGGTTTGACATGAGGGCTGGTAGGGTGACGGCATCTAGGTTCAAGTCAGCTGCAAGGACAGACCCTACAAATCCTTCAAAATCCCTAATTAGGCAGATCTGTTACCCTGACCTATGCAGATTTTCTACAGTTGCAACCAGGCATGTGTGACATAATGACACAAACAAAGATGTGCTTTGAACTTATGTTTCAACAATGGAAATGTATACATGTTGTGTTCTAATGTAGAGGGCCCCAGCTTTCTTAAAAAAAAAAAAAAACATCAAAGAAACAAACACAAGACAAAGAAATGTTTATCATTGGAAAATTTATTGCAGTCAGTATTACAAATTATCAACATTAAATTACAAACATGCATCCCTCTTTGAGTGCCCTTACCTATTTTTAATAACTTAAACTTCCGACATGCCAGCTGTGTGGAAAAAAAGACTCACGTCAGTATTGAATTCTCTTTCAGGCTTGAAAAAAACATAACACGTACAAATTATGCCAAAATGTCAGTTTTGTTGAGTGTCCTCATAAGATCAGTCTTAAATGATTTAAATAAAGTTTTAAATTAACATAGAGAGTGAAGTGCACACTGCCGCAACAGCTTTTTATAAGCGATGTAAAAAAAATTGTTTTCAAATTAGCGCCAATTCAAGGCACAATAACAAAACAGTGCTGCTACGCACGACCACCATTAAAGGGATAGTTCACTTTGAAATTAATTTTTGATGTGTTTTATATCTTACCTCAAGGGCATCCAAGATGTAGGTGTCTTTGTTTCCACAGCATTTTGAACTTTGACATTTTTCGGTCAAACCGTTCTTGTCTGTCAGTCATATAATGGAGGTCTATGGGGTCCACCTCAGAGCATGCACAGAGAAATCCAAATTAAACATGATTGAATGACTCGTAAATGTAAGTACACATTGATGGACTAAGACCAATCCAATGTCCAACTTGACCGAACTGAACCGTGTCCAACGTTCCGTCGGTAGTGATCGCTTGTGTGTGTACGTCACTCAATGTTTACACATAGATTTTGGACGTTTTACCTTTCACTAAACATATTTAGATATATCGTAGTAAAACTTCCGAAATCTCTGTGTAAACAATAAGTGACGTACATGCGCAAGCGATCACTACCGACGGAATGTTGGACACGGTTCAGTTCGGTCCAGTTGGACATTGGATAACTGATTCAGATCACTTGGATGTGGCTGTGGCTACACAAGGTAAAAACGATATAAATATTGTTCGTTTTCTCACACAAACCTCTCGTTTCGTGTCTTAGGCCATCAATGTGTACTTACATTTACGAGTCATTAAATCATGTTTAATCTGGACTTCTCTGTGCATGCTCTTTGAGGTGGTGACCATAGACCTCCATTATATGACTGACAGACAAGAACGGTTTGACCTAAAAATGTCAAAATTGAAAATACTGTGGAAACAAAGACATCTACATCTTGATGCCCTTGAGGTAAGATAAACATATAATTAATTTCAAAGTGAACTATCCCTATAATGCATGCCCGTGCAAACGCGCATTTTACTTTTGCCTTTAAATTAGTGAAATTTATCTTCACTGTCACATCCCCTACTCCTAAGGACTGAAGTTTGAAGTCTGAACTTAAAAATAAATTGTGGCACAGGCATATCACTTATTCTCCTCATTTATTCTAAGTGAAATAATTGATCTATTTTTCAGGGGTGAATGTCTGTATACATTTTTAAAATTATATATTTATGGTAGAATCAAATGTTGTTTGTCTTTTGTATTGCCTTATCTACAACACATGAGTGTAATAAGATAAAGGCAGTACAGGAGAGAGGACATTTATTTGATTTCAATGAAATCAAAAAGCCAAAATATTGGCATATCGAATATTGGCCAACATCTAATATTGTGCATCCCTATTCCTGTTATATTTAATTCACATATTTGTAAACGACTATGATAGAATAAGAATATGATACAAGAGAATATTATGTGCTATTAAAATTAGGCCAATTTTGGGTACTGACATCTATAGTACTTATAGTTCTTAGGAAATGAGAGAACAAATCCAATGAAAAGAGCACTCAAAGAGTTACGATGACTTAATAACATTATTTTTCTAATTTACAGATGGGGATGTGAACATGAACAAAAAGCCAGAGAAACGTATGAGGCGTACGCTGCACAACATCATCAAGACCTAAGTGTTCGTGATGCCGGTCTCCACATTGATACCTCCCGTCCCTACCTTGGAGCATCTCCAGATGCCTTGGTGTCCTGCTCCTGCTGTGGCGATGGTATTTTGGAAATCAAGTGCCCACACTGTGCCAAAGACACCGGAGTCCTCAGTGCCACTGAAAGAAAACATTTCTGCATTGAGAACACAGATGGTACACATGCACTTAACAGAGATCATCAATACCACTACCAGGTGCAAGCCCAGTTGTTTGTTACGAGGCGGAAGTTTTTGTGACTCATGGTGTGGTCTACATCTGATTTTTTCATTCAGAGAATTTTTCCTGATGCTGACTTTTTTACAGAAGCAGTGCAGAATGTCGAGTCTTTCTATAGGTCAGCCATTTTATTCGAGTTATTGGCTAAGAAGTATACATGCCCAGATAGACTGCTGTCAGACAAAACACAGTCCACAGACTCTCAAGAATTGGAGGAGTAGTAGGGTGTTGTTCAAAACGAAGTGAACAACGAGAATTGTTGGCTCTTTGTAAATTATAGTGTTGTCTAGACCTACTCTATTTGTAAAGTTTTTCGAAATAACTCTTGTTATGATTTGATACTACTAATAAAATTGAATTGAATTATTTAGTAAGATTTGCCTGTGTGTAATTCTACATACATTTAATATCCTTTTATAAGGGACAACAGGACAGTCAAAAGGTTGAGCGCTGGTTTATTTTACAAAAAACATCTTTCAACACGTTTATAAAAGCCAACCTAAATTACATAATGTACACTCATATACAACTTCTTTTATCAATCAATCAATCAAATTTTATTTGTTGAGCGCTTTACATCAACCAAAATGTGCACAAGGCGCTTTCCAGTAAAAACATCAATAAACAACAATATATAAAAACATAAGAGTAGATAAAATAGCAGTTGAAACAGGACGGAAGCTACATATTAAAAGCTTGTCTGAATAGACGTGTTTTCAACTGCGATTTATAATGTTTGTCCTGCATGTTTCAGTTAAATACATAGTGTGAATGTGTTAGGGAACTGACGCATGACAATTTTACTTTTTCCAATATAGGTTCTATGCAACTTATAACTTAACTCATTTCATTTTAGCTGATTTTAATGGATGAGTAAAGAATTGATTGTTAATGTGCTAGTACAACTATTTACACTGGAAATTGTTACTCAAAGTGCTTTCAAAAAACGTAGAAACCTCTCTGTTAAAGAATAACTGGGGTTTTTTTTTCAGCTATCTATTGGCACCACTAGAGGGCACAGATTCGTTAGGGCACAAGCCACTCTAACTATTTTGTCAAGAGAAGTGAACTCCTCTTTTCTGATGACTTAATCAGAAGACTAATGGGCACAGGTCCATGCAACATTCTGTACTTGGATCGTGCTTGACCAATTACCCTCTCAACGTGTATGCGGACTGCTGCAAGTTTTCTGGAATCTTCCAGTTCGACAGCGCCCAGCTGTGTTTTTCCCCCGTGTAAAGGCAGGAGTTTCAACCCTTGCACAGTACAAGCCAACTTGTTCCTTGAATCCTAAAGCCACGGTCTGCTAGGATCAAGTCTCCTGGTTGGAGATTATCCAAAAACCCACTGTTTGCTGTAATGTGAGCATCAGTTGACCGCCCACCCAGCCCTTGGAGATGAAGGAGATTATCCCTTGTGGAGTTATACCTATTAGGTATTTTAATGGTGTTGTGTGATTTATACTGAGAGTATGTCTGGGCCCTTGCCTTCAGATCTTTAGGTCTGTCAATGGTAATTTCAAAACAGTCTATTACTGACATGCATTGCGCTGAAAGACTTTCTGAAACACATTGGCAGATGTTTGGACATCATCTCTGTCAGGCCATACCACACACACAGGTACTAAGTTGTCATTTAGTATATTTAATGACATTTGTAAAAACTCTTGAAATTGTGGACATATGAACACCAAACAGATATGACAAAAAAGCAATCGGCAGGTTAAGCCTGATCCTCATTAATGTCAACAGTAGCTGGTGGAAGATGGTGATGTTTTGCTGTATTCTTAAGTAAGGGAGTTATTAAGTCAATCACAGCCATAAACACTTTATAGTTGGGCAGTCCTGTAAAGGTTTTAAGTTTGTCGCTGTTTCAAAAGTGCTCTGTTCCAGGTCTGAGGGCTTCAGCTTCTCCTTCAGAGCAAACGTATCACCCCGGAGTTGCTGACACTCAAATTCAAGCAAGAGACTCAATGTAGTCTGAAGTGAGGTTGGTTTGGCACATTGCATCACATTTACATTAGTTTCACTGATACTAGCCTCTTCTACAATCGCCTCCTCTACAATCTCGTCCTCAACCTCATGTAAACATTCACTCAGCTGACAGATTGAGAAGTGCCCTGGCAGCTTCACGTTTGGATGACTCCTGACGCTTTTTTTTCTTCATTGCCTCTCTGACCTCATACTTCCCT